GTGTCCCTGCGCCTCCCCGACGCCCCCGTGGTGGCCGTGGACCTCAGCGGCTCCTCCCTCACCTATGAAGGCTTTGATAACCTGGGTGAGCCCCGAGCCCCCCCCTGGGACCCCCAGATCCCTTTAGGGACCTCCCTTGACCCCCACTTTTGTCTCCCCACAGTGCTGCTGAGGCAGCTGCAGCACCTGGACCTGAGCAGGTGCCCCCACCTGGATGACTGGGCACTGGGACGGCTGCACGTCTTTGGGGACACCCTGCGGGACCTGTCGGTGGCCCATTGTCCCCAAGTCACTGAGAGGGGCCTGGCTACCCTCCACCACCTCCGGTGAGCAGAGGGGATGGCCATCTGGGGACCCCCCTTTTGGCTCCAGCTGCCCCCCAACACCACGTCCCCACTTCCCAGGGAGCTGCGGCGCTTGGACGTGGCTGGGATCCAGGTGCCGAGCCCGGGGCTGGTCCAGATCCTGCTGGAGGAAATGCTGCCAAAGTGCCACATCCTGGGCTTGGACCCCGAGGACAGTGTGGAGATGGGGACAGTGCCACCACTGGAGTCCCCTGCTTGAGGACGGGGGGGGGGTTGGGGTATGGAGGGAGCCACCTGCCCCCCTCCCCGAGCATTAAATCCTGGTGGCTGCGTGCTGCCTCCCCCCATCCCTGGATTTTGGGCTTTTCTGGTAACAATCAATGGGTTTCGCTGCTTTTTGCCCTATTTGAAGGGGTGTTGGACCCCCCCCAGGGTTCCCAGTGTGAAATCAGCCTGTGAGTGGGCTGATCTACCCCCCTCCAGGGGTTTTAGTAACCCCCAAGGGGCTAATCCCTTCTCCAGGGGGTTAATCCCTACCTCAAGGGGGTTAATTCCCCCTCTGAGGGGGCCATTTTCCCCTCCCAAGGGGCTTTATGCACCCCAATGGGGGTAATTTCCCCCCCCCCAAAGGGATTTAATCCCCGTACAAGGGGTTTAATCCCCCACAAGGGGGTTAATGCCTCCCTCCAGTAGGGTTTAGTCTCACCAAGGGGAGTTAATTACCCTTCCAAGGGGGCTAATCCTCCTGATGGGGGGGGGGTTAATTCCTCTCACAAAATTGTTAATTGCCCCCCCCAAGGAGATTAATTGCCCCCTCAATGAATTAACCCTCCAAGAGGGTTACTCCTCCCTCAAAGGAGACAAATTATCCCTTCAGGGACTTTAATCTGCCCTAAATTGGGGACTAAGATCCAAGGGGATCATTCACCCCCTCAAGTTTAACCCCTCATGGGGGTGGGGGGAGGGCCTCTTTTCCCCTCCCAAGGGGACTGATGCATCCCAGGGGGATTAATCCCCCCCTCCAACGGGTTTAATACCCCCCTCCAACGGGTTTAATACCCCCCAAGGGGGTTAATCCCCCTCTCTCAGGGCACTGTTACCCCCCCCCCCACCCCGGG